GAAATCAAAAAAAGACCACACCTGGCTGCGTGCCAGCATTTAATTAGCAAGAGGATATTCAGTCAAGATAACTTTAGAGCAGTGGATGGCACAAAGGTACACAGACAGGCTGAGCTAGGTGTGAAGCAATAAAGGGTGGAACAGCACTGGGCAGACTGCCAGAAGCAGAGTGCTTAGAAATTCATTCACATAAACCTTAAAGCACCCGAACTCACAGCTAAGAAGAGTTTCTTTTTAATCCAAACAGATTAATTACTGCTACCTCTGGTGCCAAATAATTCAGTTTTTTTAAACTGTGTGTGGACACAAGGCACTTTAATCAGAACAAATAAAGTTATTCTGAGGTAATATCCCCTTGTTAGATAAGCCTTGAGGATAATTACTAAATCTCTGCTCGTGGGCTCTGACATGAAGAACATCACTCAAAGCTAAATTAGCAGGGCACAAATTTGCTGGTTTAATCTCCGCTGTTAACAGCACCTAATATTTCTATGGTATTGTCAAGCTAAAGTGAATATTATATAAAACTATTATCTTGATGTTGAAAATCTCTATGAGAAAACCTGAGACACTATTGAAACCCACAAACACTTGTCCTCTCTCCTCTTCCAAACTAAGGACTCAATCTCCCAGTCCTTACTTTGGGAAATCTCTCACTGATTGCTAGAAGAATTGCAGGATTGGGCTAGAAGAGATGGATGTGTATATATTTTAACTCATTAAGGATATTTTATTTCATATTGTCAAGTCACAGGGCCAGGGCCCAACAGGGTTGTGGGTTCACTTCAAGACAGAGTTGATTAGGATAGTTGCTTCTATTAATCTCACTACATCACTATTATTACAGGCTTATTACTGCCAAATGGTTACACTGCTACTGCAAAGTAATCCCAATAATTACACAGCCACTGCAAAATACAATCTCACTACATTATTACTATTACAGGCATAATACTGCCAAATAGTTACACAGCTACTGCAAAATAATCTAAATAATTAGCATAGGCAAAGCAATGCATGTAAGTGAGCAACAGGCACTTAGAACTGCTTACGCCCCTTCAGTTCTGCGGGAAGTCCCATTCCGGTCACCTTGCACCAGGCCGCAGTGGACATGGCTCCAGCTGGGGGATCCAGGGCACCTCTCAAGATCTTATTCTTTAGCTGCCTACCAAGTGTGCGCGAGTTGGCCCAATGCCACTTTCAACGTTCCCACGGGGCTGAGAGCTGAGGTCATATTATTTATCCCATACGAGGTTCTTAGCAAGGGGAGTTTGGGCTGGTGAAGGCTGTCTGATAAAGAACACCCAATGTTTTTGCTAGTAGTCTTCAAGGCTGGCCTAGAGGAGGACAAATTTAACCCCTGCAGGCCCACCTATGGCTCACATTACACGTCTATTAAATGTCTACTGGCAGAACACTTTCACTCAAAACCAGACAGTGTAAAAATGTGTGTATATTCATACTAGAAGATTTACCTGGCATTGCTCAGATCCTCCAGGACTGGGGGCTGGAGGTGTGTGTGGGGGAGTGTAGGAATTAGGTTTGGGGGGTTTAGGAGAGATTCAGAGCAGGAGACTGGGGGTGCGAGGAGGGGCTCAGAACAGTGACTGGGGCTGCAAGAGTCAGGACTGGGGGCTGAAGAGGGGCTCGGGTGGGGAATGCAGGTATCAGGGTTGAGGGACAAGAGTGGCTCAGAGTAGGGAGTGCAGAAGTCAGAGTAGGGAATGAGAGGAGGCTCAGGGCAGGGCAAAGGGGCAGCTGCTGGCTCTCTCCAGGGCCGGCCTGGGGAGTGGGGGCAAGACCATGCTGCCCGGCCAACAGCTACTCCCTGGGGACAGTCTGAGTTCATAGAATCATAGAACCATAGAGCTGGAAGAGACCTCAGAAGGTCATCAAGTCCAGCTCCCTGCTCTAGGTAGGACCAATCCCAACTAAATCAACCCAGCCAGGGCTTTGTCAAGCCAAGACTTAAACACTTCTAGGGATGGAGACTCCACTACTTCCCTAGGTAACCCATTCCAGTGTTTCACCACCCTCCTAGTGAAATAGTTTTTCCTAATATCCAACTTGGACCTCACCCACCTCAAAGACCACTGCTCTTTGTTCTGCCATCTGTCACTACTGAGAACAGCCTTACTCCATCCTCTTTGGAACCTCCCTTCAGGAAGTTGAAGGCAGCTCTCTAATCCCCCCTCACTCTTCGCTTCTGCAGACCAAACAGCCCCAACTCCCTCAGCCTCTCCTCATAGGCCATATGCTCCAACCCCCTAATCATTTTGGTTCCCCTCCGCTGGACCCTCTCCAATGCATCCACATTCTTTCTATAGTGAGGAGCCCAGAACTGGACATAATACTCCAGATGTGGCTTCACTAGAGCCGAATAAAGGGAAATAATGACATCTCTGGATCTGCTGGCAATGCTCCTCTTAATGCAACCTAATATGCCATTAGCCTTCGTGGCTACAAGGGGACACTGTTGACTCATATCCAGCTTCTCATCCACTTAACCCCCAGGTTCTTTTCTGCAGAACTACTACTTAGCTGGTTGGTCCCCAGCCTGTAACAATGCTTGGGATTCTTCTGTCCCAAGTGCAGGACTCTGCACTTGTCCTTGTTGAACCTCATCAGATTTCTTGTGGCCCAATCCTCAAATTTGTCCAAGTCACTCTGGACCCTATCTCTGCCCTCAAATGTAACTACCTCTCCCCCTAGCTTAGTGTCATCCGCAAACTTGCTGAGGGTGCAATCCATCCCGTCATCCAGGTCATTAATAAAGATATTGAAAAAAAACGGTCCTAGATCTGAACCTTGGGGCACTCTGCTAGAAACCGACCACAATCCTACCCTTCTAGCCATCCTTCCATCCATCTTACCGTCCATTTATCCAATCCATATTCCCTTAACTTGCTGGCAAGCATATTGTGGGAGACTGTATCAAAAGCCTTGCTAAAGTCAAGGTATATGACATCCACTGACTTTCCCACATCCACAGAGCCAGTTACCTCATCATAGAAACTAATCAGATTGGTCAGGCACGACTTGCCCTTTGTGAATCCATGCTGACTATTCCTAATCACTTTCCTGTCTTCCAAGTGCCTCAAAATGGATTCCTTAAGGATCCCTTCCATGATTTTTCCAGGAACCGAGGTAAGACTGATCGGCCTCTAGTTCCCTGGATCGTCCTTTTTCCCTTTTTTGAAGATGGGCACTACATTTGCCTTTTTCCAATCATCCGGGATTTCTCCCGACCTCCA